GAGTGCCTGGTTTTATCGGCATCGGTTGCACCAGCGGTGACCTTAGCAACCTCAGATGGTGAGGCATCAGGCTTGGCTTTCGCGTAGAGAGTGAAGTAACCAATGGCACCCAACACTAAGAAACCCGCCAAAGCCATACCCATATACCCCGTCTTTGAAAATGGCAATCGACCTCTCTGGTGCAGAACCCCACCAGCAGGGTGCTGTTCCACATTACTCTTCACCTCCTCCCCTGTTTTTGCCATCTCTCTCTCTCTCTCTCGCTAACCCAAAACCAGTGCTCTTTCTGTCTTAGAAAACAACGGCCTCAATACCCCCTCTCTCTCCATCAAATGCAGACTCCCATCAAAGATAAAAGCTCTCAAAACCAACTCTCTCTCTAAACTCTCAACACCAAATCTCTCTCTCTCTCTCTCTCTCCCCTTTCAGGGCCACGATCTCACCATGCAGTTAACCACGTCGAAGGCTTGGAGTGTAACACGTGTGTCGTGTGACTATAGACATGTCATTTGTTTCACACGCGTGTGGCTTTATTCATTAACTGAGCAAAAATACCAAACTTCTCATGAGCGTTTTTCTGTAGTGGGAGTGTTGGATCAAGTGGTAAACCAAATGAGAACATTTCAACAAGTCCTGTCTGTTGCCCTCAGTATTTGCTATAATATCCGAAATAACATTCCCACTTCTTATCGCAAGGCCTGTTTGATAAAAGGAAATTTTAAAAGTGGGAGTGGCACATTCTACTTCCATGTTTGAAAATGCTTCGAGGAAGCACATGGGAAGGCCTGTTTGATAAGGGAGTGGGACATTCTACTCCATGTTTGAAAATGCTTCGAGGAAGCACATGGGTGGAAGGGACATTCTGCTCCCATATTACACTTATGTGGTATGAATGAGGCTGAACTATGGGCTTTAAAAGACAGCGATCCCACACAATGGAGAGGATAATAATAGAAGGGAGAGGATAATAATAGAAGGGGATTCAGCGGATGTAATAGAATGGTGTTCAGATCCTTCTTTGATCCCTTGATAACTGACCCCTATTATGATTGAAATAGAGTTCTTACAATCAAACAGAGAGCTCATCTTTGCCCAATTTAGTTTCTTCGATCCCATGACAACTGACCCCTATTATGAATGCAATAGAGTTTTTACAATCAAACAGAGAGCTCATCTTTGCCCAATTTAGTGGGGAGAAGAATAGAGAGGCAGATAGTCTAGCAAAAATGGCTATTGTTTTTCCTATAGTGCCCTTTTCTGTCAATTACCCTTAGTTCTCTATAACGCACCAATTGTTTTCCTGCAAATTTCATAATTCACATTATCTACTTGGAATGCAATTGTTTATAATTAAAAAATAAAGTTTGCACAAAGTTGTAACTTTAAAATGTAGAATTAAAGATGCACCTCAACAATCCATCGAAAAAGGTTGTTTTAATGTTGAAAAATCGCCTAATTGATCATCTTGACATCGAGATGTATGAATATGAAAAAAATAAATTTTTTTTTTGAATCCCACATATAGTGCCTCTTGTAATACATTATCTGACCTTTTCAATATTTTCATATGTTTATAGATCTACTTGATTATAACTGTCTTTGAAATTTAGAATTTATAATTAGAGATAAAAATAGATTCTCATATAATCCTAAAAAAAATTTACACCAAAATCACAAAACATCTGGAGGTGAGCCTTAATTGGATTGTTTACGCCCTTAAAAAAAATGAACCTCGAATAGATTGCTTCCAATTCTGTCCTGACAATATGCAAAAGTAGATGCATAAACACACTGAGATAAGAAGACAATCAGCTCGAATACTTCGAACTATTCTTAAACATGGTAGAATTTCCACTATTGATTAATGTAGGTAGGGACTCTCCCATACCGACTCAAGCTCTCATCCCCTATACTAAACCTAATCTACTTGGTAACTTTCTAAACACCATGCTAAATAAATGATCCATCAAATGTAGGTAAGAGAAGTTCCCATCCTTGCTCAAGCTCTTGCCCAAATCAATTGGTACCCCAACTATAAGTGCAACTCCCACCTTTTAGCAACCTGGTTTGGATTCTACAGTCCATCAGTCCCAATTTCCTCCTCTTGAGGAAAAGGAACCTCCTGCAAGACTGATGCCATGCCCTCGATTTGCCAACCCAAAGTCTGAGCCGAGACACCAAAAAGACACAAAGTAACAAGCAACTTCTCTACATATTCACACAACCATTTCAGCCTCTCTAAGATTACTAGGGATCCCAATGTCCAACCTCATTGTCGCCTTGTACTCTTCGGGGATCTCAGCCCCTGCCTGTACGCAAATCTCCACAACAGCAGGGGCTTGCCCGTAGAAACTCTTCAACTCTCTTTGCAATGGTGGCCCACATACATCAGGCACGTGCCATACATATCTAGGTGGTATCAAATCATCAAGAATTGCTGCCTGCCAACCGTGCTGCCCATTGCGTTGTTGGTGTTTGTAAGCCCCACAGTTTTGAGCTCGGTGCCCACTCGGTCCCACATGAACCTCGGGACAGTACCCACATGCTCTCACTGCATATTTCTTCATTAATTTGTTGGCTCCTTTCCTAAGTGTATCCCATGCCTCGAGTGTTTCATATGCGATCTCAAGTGTTTCTTCAGAGGTCGAAGGGGCGTGGAGTTTTGAATTGGGTAGCTCAGGTAGAATGGGTTTTCGGTGGGGTTCAGAGGGGTTTTCAACCGATGATTTCAACAGTTTCTCATCATCTTCAGCTAGCATTGGTGACTCGTCTAGGAGGTTGTCATCAACTAAGATTGGGTTTTCGGTGGGCTCGAGAGCTCTTTTTGATAGGTCGTAATTGGCGAAACTTGGCATTGGGAGTGGTACTGAACCTAATTTTGGTGATTTTTCCAGTGGCTCCTCATCTGAAACTGGGTTTTGGAGTGTTTCAAGAGAACTTTCCAGCAAGTCATAACCAGCGAAAATAGGCATTTGATTTGGTTCATGGCCTATTTCCTGCAGGTCTGGCAAGTCATCCTCATTGGCATCGATAATCTCGTTCTTTCCAATTCGAATCACTGGCTTTCGCCTCCGCTTAGTGGGGAGGTCAGGAAGGTCAACTCCTGCTTGAATGCATAGCTCCACAATAGCTCGGATCCTTCGTATTGAGAACCTCTCTTCGTGGGTGATGCGTTTGCCCAGGCGGTCAAAGAGGTGGTAAGCCTCAACGGGAACAAATACGTCATCGATGTTTGCTGATGTCCATTCGTGTAAGCCTTTTCGAGCCTCACACCGTGGGCCCCTGCACGACTTGAATGGATGGCCAACTGGTCCCACATGTATTTCGGTGCAATAGCTGAAAAAATAAAGTGCAACCAAGGATCAAAATTTGTGTGAATTTTGGTGTGAGAAAACATGACAGATTCCAAAGGGCCAGTTGATAGTGTAAGGAAGCCCACTTTGTACACATATACAAACATATAGGCACAACACACACAAATGTGATGCTTCTTACATTTGTTAGGAACTTCAGTGAATTTCAGGGTGAATGGATGATGCATAGATGTTGGCTATTATATCCATTCAGTGTCAGCCAAGGACCAAAATTGAAATTCACCAAAATTTCCACAACTGAAAACCATGGGTGAAACATCACATGCACAGGGATGAAGGAACAAGCAAGTCCTTTATGATACATGCAATACACCTTCATTTGTGAATCCTCAAATTGATTAATATGCATCTAATACTGTGCCCAAAACAGAACAACAGTCGCAACATGAAGCAAAGCAAAATACCCGCAAGCATGTACAGGCACCACTTTCATAAGCTTCCTGAGATTATTTATGAGGGTAGTCCTTGCATTCAACACATCATATGCTACAGGTATTAGACGCCAAACTAATAGCCCATTTCTCGGAGCAGATGGAGGTTTCCTGGGCTTGCCCCTCATGCTCTTTGCCCTAGCTCTTGCAGCACGCCTTAGCTCAAGCACAGGCACAGGAAAAGGCCTCTTCTCCTTCTTTGAGTAGTAACGAGGAAAATCTGCATTTTGGGGAAGGCTTGCTCTGAGAGTAAAGGCATTAGTTTTGGGTTGAGTAGAACGTGGAGCTGGAACTCTAAAAGTCAATGAATTGTTTAAGTCTTTCCCAAAATGCTGCAAATGAGAGCAGAAGAGTGTCTTTTAGAAATTGATAAATAGGGTTCAAACAGTTGCATCAAGAAAATGTCACGCTTGTGTGTGTGTATCATGGGTATATGCTAATTATATGTAGAACTTCATCCCATGCTAGTGGGACCAGTGATTGTTAGCATAGATCGTAGACTAGTTAAAATAGATAAAGAATTTAAAATCCAAACGAAATTCAGGCAGATCTGATTATAATTGGTCACAGATCTGTAGTCTACTCCATATCCTTGCACATAAGTAATAAGTACCTCTCCTATAAACCAAAAATGATGAAATCAGAACCGAAAATAACTATTTTGAAGGTGATTAAATAATGGTACACATTCTTAGTGGCAGATCAGCATCCTTAAAGGGAGCCTTCCTCATTGAAATTATCACCTGATAAGAGAACATTGAAAAGCACGAGAAATTCCTGAGAATATAATGATCACCATTTGAAGCTACAAAAATAGAGTAAGTAAAAGAATAAGCTTATAAGTTACAATCAACAAGGCAACACTTTAAAGAGAATATAAGGACTATAAGTGCAACATAAACTAAGATTTATCAAAAAACACCCCAACAAACTAGGAGCAGGAAGTTGCAACTTATGGGTGGAAAAAAAAAAGCACACATTGTTCCACTAAAAACTAGGGATAATTATGGATCCCCCCCCCCACCCAAATGGAACTTTGTAAACATTCTACATTAATATCACACTTTTTCTTGCTTTTACCCCCCCCCCCCTCCAATCAAAAAGTCATTGTTCTATAGACTAAACTACCCTTCCCCTCCTTTATCCTACCCATTAAACCTCTCTCTCTCTACCTGCCCTCTCTCTCTCTACCCAGGTAAAGAGAGGGCAGGTAGAGAGAGAGTATTTAA